GCCGCCCGCTGCTGACCGGGTCCATCCGGACTCACGGCGACCGCCCTCCGGGCGTCAGAGTGCGCATCTTGCGCGAAGCGGCGAGGGGAGTTGCACCGCGGCTGGATAGGGGCATTCCAGTTAGTCATCCCCCTCCGCGCACCAGCTTCCAGGAATTGCAGTGACTTGGGGTGCGCTGGCCCGTTGGGAAGTGCCTGCTACGTGTACAAAGGCCTCCCCCACTTTCCAGAGGCTTGTGGCATTGTAGACCCCACACCAGCAGCAGTCAGTAGACGTGAGGAACGGACGCTTATATAGCCAGCCCCCCCCCCCCAGGCCAGATCTCCAATATTTTGGGGGTGCAGGGCACTCGTCTGGGTGACAAGACACCATCAGAGTGCCACACCTGGGCGAAGGTCACCAGCACGTCGGAGAGGCTAACTTTAAAGGGCATTCAAGGTCGCAGGAATAACTAGCACGTGCACCGATCAGGGTAAGCATTGTCCCAAGCATTAAACTTCAGAACCAACTTTTGAAATTAGTAGACCCCCATTTGACAGATGGAAAGTGAGGCATAGAGATGTGGTACTTGCCCAAGCTCTTGTAGTAGTAAGCACTGGAGACTGCATTTGAATCTGGAGGATCAAATCAGATTTGACTCAAATACTATAATAGAAAATGAAATCATATCAGAAAAGTAGCATGGTGGCAGGCACTGTTAAGATCTAACTAAGGTGTTTGGAGTTCGTGGACAGATTTTTTTTGCCCTGAGTACATTATTCATATAAGGACAAGCCATGTAATATATATGGGGTTTTTTTTTCCAATTAATGAACGTCTGTGCTTAGGTACATAAATGTAATTTGACCAGTGCATACCTGGAGTTTTATTCATCCTATGTATTTTTGTCAGTGTTCCTTCAGAGTTCCCACTTTTTGAAGTTGTCATGGTTTCAAAATTTAAAGAACATTATAAAATTCCATTAGCTTCCATTTCAGTGGCTTGGTTCTCAGGTAGTAAGTAGTCTGACTTCTAAGCGGAGTTAGCACTTCACATCTGTGGCAGCCAGGAGGTGGTCAGGTAATTCTCGTTTGCTATTTCAGTGGTTGGATTCTAGGAGAGACCCAGGTTCAACTTCCTGCCAGTGAGTAGCCACCCCACCCACCCACATCCATGGAGACCTGCGTGCTGCTCTGCTGCTGAGCAAGTTTCAGTAAAATGTATAGATGAATTAGGAAGAATGGCTTGGTGAGCTACTTCCAGAAGTCCACGCGGTGGGCTGCAGCTGTCCAGCCCACAAGTAATCGTGGAGATGTGGAGCGCCAGGCAGCGTTTTGTCCCATGGTGCATGGGACCTCCACGAATCAGAGAGCAGCTAACCGTAAGTGTGTGTGTGCTAGCTGCGCTCTTACAAATGACTGACAATTTCCTGTCTGTAAGATTCCATTGATGCCAACGTTAATTGGATGAAGGTCCTGGGATTCCATGAAGGATTAATTAGTCTGGAACCATAATAGGAAAGAAGCTGAAGGCATGAGTTTCCTCTATGTAATTGGAAGGAATCCTGGAGGTACTGTCCGGTGAGGGATGGCTGCTAAAATCAAACCCACCAACAGCTCCTTCAGAGAAAGATGAGGTGTCTCCTCCCATAAATACGTATAGCCTCAGAAATCCTACAGTGATACCTCAGTTGTTGAACGGCTGGCTCTAAGCTCAGACTTTACACAACTCGAACTGAAGCTCTAGGTGGACACAAGGGGTGACCCTTTAGTCCAGCGGTTCTCAACCAGTGGGTCGCGACCCCTTTGGGAGTCAACTGACCCTTTCACAGGAGTCCCCCGATTCATAACAGTAGCAAAGTGACAGTGATGAGGTAGCAACCAAGGTAATTTTCCGGTTGGGGGGAGTCACCACCACATGAGGAACTGTGTGAAAGGGAGGTTGAGAATCACTGCTTGCCTCCAAGGTCTCTTGTTCAGACAACCCAGCACTTGTGTTAGTGCGCTAAAATATTCCTCGTGGGGAGTTTTGCACTTTATTTGTGTAAAATACCGTAACCATGACTCTAAAGAAAGTGACACCAAAAAAAATTTTTTTTAGTGATACCAGCAATAAAACTAAGAGGAAAACTGAAAACTCAGTTAAAGAAATCATTTCAAAATTTGAAATCAGGTCACTGCTTGTCTGATCTGGTGGCTGAATACAACCAACCTAAGCCACATTATCAGCCTTTTTGAGGGAGAAAAAAGGGGTCAGAGCGACTAATGTAGCAAAAGGGAACCGTGGAACAGAGAGCCAAGAGGTTGAAAAGTTCATTTGAATACATGGGAAGCAACTCAATGGTGATAGTGTATCCGAGACAGTGATATGGGAGAAGGCCCACGGCCTCCATAGTGAATTTTTAAGTGGAAATTTGGAAGCCACAGAACCAAGTTTTTATTTTCCCATGTCTTATGGGGAAAATATGCTCTGTTCTTGAACTTTTGGGTGTTCAAACAGGAATTTGAAACAGGGAGTTGAGCGGTGTCTGTATAGGATCACGATGGGTCGGATCGACTTGATGGCACTTTGGGTGAATTATTAGCTCATCGGAGTTGTGGGAGAAGGAGCCCAAAGGAGGTAAATTTGACACCTTCCAAACGGTAGATTGGCGAGACAGGCTTGATGAGAAGGAAAGTAAACAAATAGGAAAAATAACTGGTGTGAAGATGTGCAACATGTACTTAATTATAGATATGTTCAGTTTTACTACTGCAGCGTATCTTGGCCAAGGGGCTCAACAAGAAATTGAAATTCTGAAAGTAATGTTTTAGAGCAGTGGTTCTCAACCTTCCTAACAACGCAACCCTTTAATACACTTCCTCATGTTGTGGTGACCCTCCCAACTATAAAATTATTTTTGTTGCTACTTCATAACGATCATTTTGCAACTGTTATGAATCGGGCGGCCCCTGTGGAAGGGTCGTTCAACCCCCCAAAGGGGTCGCGACCCACAGGCTGAGAACTGCTCTTTTAGAAGGATTTGAGATCAGAGTTGCAGATTTAGATACAAAGACTATGTGTTTGGTACTTAAGAGAATGGGGATTGATTGGAGCAGGAGATTGTAGGAAGAAAACACAGTGGAGAGATGGGAAGAGAAAGAATGGAAATTTGGAACCCTGATCTGAGAAGAGGATTTGAACAAAAAACTAAGTCATCAATGCAGAATGCTTTGCTTACAATTCATTGATATTGGGGAGACCTGCAGTTGATAAGAGCCAGCGAAATGGGAAACATTGAAAAAGAAGAATCATGAAAAAAACAAAGAAATGCATCATGTTTAAGGACTCTGAGAGGATGGGAACCTAAAACAGAGATGTAGAGATAACTTCAAAGACTGCTGGGATAAATGTGTACTCTCCAACATTTCACCTTTAAGACACCAGTGAAAAATATTTTGAAATGCAAAATACATCTGGTGCTAATAAATGCCAGGATTCAAGGTTAATTGTCAACTTGCTGGACCGCGATTGAGGCTCTGGCTTGGTAGTGACATCTTGATGTGATTTGGTGGTTATGTAATGAGGTAATGGTAATTACGTAATGAGGTAATGCCCCCTCGTGGTGTTTTCAGTATTCTTCATCAACACACTGATGTCTATGTATCAGTTCTCCAGCATTCACAATTGTCCAGCATTCACATGCATATAAGATAATTTAAAGTACCATGATTTGCGTCAGGTGCACCTTCCAAGTGGTTTCTTTGCTTTTAACAACCTTGAGATATTTGCAGCTGATTGGCCCAGTCACTCTTGTTTGCTTGACTGCTGCCTTCATGGGGATTTGTGGATCCAAGCAAATGAAATCTTGGAAACTGCAGCAATCTCTGCTCCATACTGAAAACTAGTTTCTTTCTTAATTAAGAAATACTTAATTAAGAAAGTGAAGTCCTCATCACTTTCAGCAAGCAAGCCACCTAAATTACCTCAAAAGAAGAAAATGTTTTTCTTGAGTTTGTGTAAGGGTCCAGGGTTGTTAGGGGGTCTGAAGTCGTTTCCGAGCCCTAACAACCTTACGTGTGTTAGAATCAAACCTTGGACAGCCCCGCACCATCTTCTGTCTATATAACCTATGTTATGAAAAATATTCCATTTGGCTTTTTCTTCTTTTTTTTTTTCAGGATCATCTATCTTTTGGTACAGACAAAAAAGCAAGTAGCAGTTGAACAGGTAACCAAGTGTGAATAAGAAGTAACTTGGCTTAAAATATGTAACCTTCCTAATATAATTAACTTTTTGCTTGTCATATATATTTTTTAATTAAGCCTGACTTTTAAAAATTTGAAGTTGAATATAGATTCTAAAGTGAATGGCTAAAAATTAAAACATTTTAAGACATTCTACCAATTTTTAAAAAAGGTATTTCACGGGTCTGATCCAAGATGATGAACTAAGCAAATACACTCTCCACGCTCTCTACAACACAGGCTGGTGGGACACACAGGTGACAGTCCAGGAACCCACAGCTTTAAAGTAGATCAAACAGTTGAGAAGAAGAGACTGAACGAGACTGATGAAGAAATAGTAAGCTGCCAGTGAGCACAGTAGGGCCATTTTTAATTACTATAAGCAACATTCTGATTAGACCAGTAAACAGATAAATCAACTCTTTTTTTAAGACTGAACCAACACCCTTATTGGTGATCAGTGACAAAAGAGGTGTGGCCTGTCCCTTAGCTTACACGCCCTCCTGGTGGCCAGAGATGTGTGTCCTACCACTCACACGCACCTTTCTACCTGGTGGTCAAACTAGCAGTCATCCTAAGCCAGTGCTAACTCATGTTGCTTTCTATCTTCATTGTTCGTCCTTCTACATTTTTCCCCCTGCTGTTTTCTGTCTCTTCCCTTGTTCTTTTTATCCATTCATCCTGCAGCGTGGAAGACCCCTCCCACTGCATCCACATAGTTAGCACCCACCCAATAACTACAAAGATTTAAGGGAACAATTGCTATAGAAACTTCCAAACAGAACTTCCAATTGAAAGAAAGTCAAGATCTTATCAAGATGGAATGGACTGTTATAAACTTGGGAAGATAATACGTTTCAGGGTTACCACAGAAAATTACTAAGCATTTTCAACATTAAGCAAAATGAACTCGGCACATTACGTCGTAGTAAACACTAAAACATCAGCCCACGTTATGATATTGGAAGTCCTGGACAGAGCAATAAGGCAAGAAAGGGAAGCAAAAGGCACCCAGATTTGTGAAGAGACAGGAAAACTGTATTTTCCATGATATGATCCTACACATAGAAGATCCTGCAGGAGAGCTACTGGAATTAATAGAAGGCTTCATTAAAGTGGTGGGGTTTATGATTAACATACACCAACTAGTTGGATTCCTCTACACTAACAATAAGAACTCAGAAAAGGAACTTAGGCAAATATCATTCAAAAATTGAAGTCCTGAGGAATGAATTTAACCAAAGACACAATAGATATGTACAAAACCAAGCAAGAAACCAAAAGAGACCAATGCAAATGAAATAATATATCATGCTCATAGTTAGAAGATTTAACATGAAATTATCAATATTACCTTAAGCAATCTACAGGAACAAAAGGTCTTACACAAATTTGTTTAACAATTCCGTTCTTCCATTTTTCCGCAAGCTTTTTGAAGCCCTCGGGTAATACATTCCCCATCTGGGCCATCATCTTTCTTTACAGAAATGACTAATCAGCCTTATGTGGAAAGGGAAGGTACCCCAGCTTTGCAAAGGACTAAAGAAGAGCTAAGAAGGGGACCTCACTTTCTGATTTCAAAAATTATCCAACCACCGTAGGCAAAACATCCTAGTATTGGTACCCAGATAGACACACAGACCAGTGGAACAGAATTGAGAACTCAGAAGTAATTCCATCCTCTTATGGACAGAAATCTTTGTTAAAGGGCTGAAACCCAATAAATAGGAAAGAGATAATCTCTCTAACAAATATTCCTGGCAAAACTGAAATGCATTTGCAGAGAAAATGAAACAAGATCCATCCGTTTGACCATATATAAAAATGAACTAAAGATGGGTCAAAGACGTCAATGTAAAACCTAGAAAGATCATCAAAGAAAAAATAGGGTCAAACTGAGGAGCTCTAATACCTGGTGTAAATACACCATCGCACAAAATTAACATTTATATGAACCAGGAAATGTCAGCAAAAGAGTAAGAAGAACCTAGAGACGGAAGAATTTAAAATTTATAGAAAAGTTTAGCAGCTTAACAACAAATTTAAATCAAATTTAAAAGTGGACAGAAAACATGAATAGACACCTTATCACAGACGGCTTTCAGGGGCCTAACAAACATGAATAATGTGATCATTAGCCATTAGAGAGAGGTAAATTAGAGCAACAGGTGTCTTAACTAGCATCAATAGTTGGATTAAAAAAACAAACAAAACCACACTGGCCAGGGTCTGAAAAGATAGGAACACTCATACACTCCTGGGACTATTAAATGGTGCAACTGCTGTGGAAAATGATGTGTTTCTTCCTTAAAAAGATAGAAATAGAAATGCTTTATAATGTAGCCGTCCCTCTACTCGGTATGTATCATAGAGAAACAAGAGCTTTGACACAGATCCATGCACACCATGCTTATTGCACCAGCATTCGCAATTGCAAAAAGATGGGATCAATATATATGCCCATTAGGGGGTGGATAGACAAGCTATGGTACATTTGGTGTAATAATGAATCTGCAAAAGACCTGATAACATGGATTAGCCTAGAAGAGAGTGTAGTTACTGAGTGAAATTAGCTCACCACAAAAGGACACATATATATATGAGACCACTAATGTAAAAAGTCAAGGAAAGGGTTACACTTAGAAACATTTTCTGAAGGCTACCTGAAGAGAGAAAACTTCAACAACAAAAACGCACTGCCATCGAGTCATTGGTGACTCGTGTCCCGCTGCCCGCCGTCCGCCTTTTCTAAGCTATACAGGAGCTGAGAGCCTCGTCTTCCTCCTGCAGGTTGGGTGGTGGCTTCAAACTGCTGACCCTACAGTAGCAGCCCAACACCTAGCCAGTGTGGAAAAGGCTTAGGCACGGAAGGAAACACTGAAGGTTGCTAGGGGGAAGTGGGAGGTAGACATGCTAGTTTAGGTGTGACGGGAGAAGCAGGTCAGCCCAGGATGTCCAAGGGAAAGGAAGACATTGGCAGGAACTAAAGGTAGCAAGGACAAATATGATCACCGTATAGACTCGAGGATAAGCCGACCCGAATATCAGCCAAGGCACCGATTTTTACCATAAAAAGTGTGCTGAGGAACTCGGCTTACATACGAGTATGTACGGCATATACAATCCTGCAGTAACATTAATGATAATTGCAAATGGATTCGTAAATCTGAAGCTGTGCAAGGAGAGGAAGGTAAATGGGAACTATGCTCTTGAATGTGAGGCTACATATTGCTACTAAATCATAGAAGTCTTTATTGAAACAAACATTCGGTGCTATTGCACATAGCCTCTGGCTAGGTTGGTAATGAGGGAGAAAGACAGGGCTTTCCACCCCTGTCAGCAGTTCCTCTTGGAAACTCGGGGGGCAGTTCTGAGCTGCCCTGTTGGGTCGCTATGAGTCAGCATCCACTCGATGGCAGTTTTGTTTTTTGAGTGAGGTCTAATATACTTCTGAAGGTGATGCTCTGAAGAAGTCCATGCTACCAATTTATACCCTGTCAAAACGCAGGCTTTGCATTCTTGAGGGCCTCAAGTTGTGTCCCCTTTAAATGTTCCTTGAATTTGGGGAACAAGACAAAGTCGGAATGGGCAGGATCAGGACTGTAGGGTAGATAGAGTAAGGTTTCCCAGCAGAACTCTGAAGAACACCGTGCTACCCTCGAAGACTGTAGGTATGTCCTGGTGCTGGAAAGTACTGTTCTACACAACTCTCCTGGCCTGTTCCTCACCAACGCACCTTCCAAAATGCTTAAAATGTCTTCTTAAGAAGGCCCTATGATTGTCTTTTGTCCTTAAAATCGACCAAAATTCCCCTTTTGTTCCCCCAAAACAACAATCGCCATCACTGTCTAAGCTGGTCTCTCACGTACATTTAACTGACCCGGAAGAGCCCCCTCGGAAGCCACTGTTTTGATTGGACCCTGTTCTTCTGAAGGCACACAGCAAGATTTTAGACAGATGTATTACTGAGAGAATTTATCTGTGCCGTCAACTGACAGGAGAGACGTGTGTAAATATTTTGTTTGGATAAATCCATGCATGTATGACCTAAAACCCTAGTAACAATACTTTGGGACTTACCCATATACTGTATATACTCGTGTATAAGCTGAGGTTTTCAGCACATTTTTAATGCAGTTCTTGTAAAATTAGGTGCCTCGGCTGCTATTCGGGTCGGCTTATACTTGAGTATGTACGGTATATTGGGAAGCTGGGTGGGGGTGGGGGGTGGCCCTTCAAAAATTTTGTGGGAAATTTTGTTACCTTTGAATTCCATTATCCACAAATTTTAGCACTCCCTGGTATATATGTTTGACAGGCTATTTCTACCTGTGTATCCAGGAGCCCTGGTGATAGTGGGTTATGTGTGGTTGGCTGACCATAAGGTTAGCAGTTCAAAACTATTAGCTGCTTCAAGGGAGAAAGATGTGGCTTTTGACTAAGGTAAATATTGATAGTCTAAGAAACCCACAGAGCCAGTTCTACTTTACTTTAGGGGCCAGTTCTCCACCTTCATGGTCAAAATCAACATGATGGTAGTTAGTTTGCTGTGGTTTTATTTTTTTCCCAAAGCTAAGATCATCAATTAGTAACTATCTTCTGCTGCCTTTTAAAAAGAACTTAAGGCGGGCCACAACAACAACAAAAGCTTGATGATGACAGTATCATGTCAAAGTACTGACGTTTTCCAATCATATCGATGCGAATAAGGTTGGGGGGGGGGGCACGGAGTGGAGACCCAAAGCCCATCTGTAGACAATTGGACATCCCTTCACAGAAGGGTCACAAGGAAGGCATGAGCCAGCCAGGGTGCAATATAGCACTGATGAAACATGCAACGTTTCTCTAGTTGTTGAATGCTCCCCCAACCCCCACTGTCATGACCCCATTTCTACCGTACAAATCCAGATAGACCAGAGCATGTACACTGATACAGATAAGAGCTGTGGACACAGGGAATCCAGGACAGATAAACCCCTCAGGAACAATAATGGGAGTAGTGATCCTATGTAGGGAGGGAGACAGTTGGGGGAGAAAATGGGAACTGATCATAATGATCGACTTATAACCCCCACCCCAAGGGGGATGGACAACAGAAAAGTGGGTGAAGGGAGACAGTGGCCAGTGTAAGATATGAATATAATACAAATTTATAAATTATCAAGGGTTCATGAGGGAGGGGGAAAAATGAGCTAATACCAAGGACTCAAGTAGAAAATGTTTTGAAAAGGATGATGGCAACATTTACAAATGTGCTTGACACAATGGATATATGGATTGTTTAAAGAGCTCTAAGAGCCCCCAATAAAATGACAAAATAATAAAAAGAACGAACAAAGTACCGAAGTCTTCTTAAAGTAGGAGCAAAGATAAATATATATATATCAACGAGTTAATGTCATATAGAGAAAAATAGCATGTGAAATAAATCTGGTTGGGAAAGGGTTGCTTGTTCAGATTTTTTCTAAAACTATGTCTTAAGTGGTTGGGACTGTGCTGTGGGAATTAATGAGATTAATCTTTGTTCGTAGGAGAAGAATGGCATTGAAACAGATTTCCAGCAACAAGTGCTTTGGAGGCTTTCAGAAAGTGTTTGAACATGACAGGTAGCTATTATGAAAATATTAACAACAAAAAGAGAAAATGTAGTTTTACATATTTTATGCACCTCTGTTTTGTTGACACTGTTGTTTTAAAACAAATCTTTTGTATAGTGTATTTCTGCCTTTGTCTTTTAATCCTGTTTATTTTCTCTCTATGGTGACCCCTTTGAAAACGTCACCCAACTTAATACACCATTTGACTACCAGTGTTAAAAGTATGGTTAAGCCTGAAGAAAGAAGTCTACCCAGGCTTTGACGTAACGTTATTCTAAAACATTGTGGAAGTGCCTGTTCTCGATGAGCTAAGAACATAAAAAGCTGGAGGGAACTTAGAACAAACAATATATGGAGACTGTAAATACTTAGCTGAACTCGGACAGCTAAAGTCCAAGCCGCAGCAAAGAGAAGCTGAGAGAAGTAGCACAATGTACATGAAGCCTTTACTTACTACATTGCATGTCCCAGTTCCCATCGATGTCTGCAGCGGTTTCTTCTCGTTTTGACTTGTGCCTCGGTAGCAGAAGCCTTCCTCCCTCCCGTCCTCACAGTCGACTCTACTTCGAGGAGACGGTTCTAACCCAGCCATATTTTGAGGGCTCATTTTCTGGGACTTTGTCAGGTAGCAATATTCTGCCGCTGCGCCTAAGACTTCTAATGGTTATATCTTTATTTGGAAGGATGTTGTCTGGTCCTTGTTTCTAGCCCTAACTACACTGGAAGCTCTGCTGAAAGTACTACCCCCGCAATGATCTTGCTGGTATTTGAAATCCGTTGGCATAGCCTTCGTCCTCGCAGCAATGTGCCAGCCACCACAAGACCACAAACTGGAAGACAAGACTCCCCCTCAGAAGTGAGGGTGGGGAGAGATGGTCTCGCATACTTTGGATGGGTGATCAGGAGGCGCCATCCCTGGAGAAGGACGTCATGCATGGTGAAGCCACGGGACAACAAAACAATGAGAGTCTCAAGCAGACGGATGGCACAGTGGTCTTTAAAACGGCGGCACGTGTCGGGGCGGCACAGGGACAGGCAGCATCCTGTTCTGTTACACGTGGAACTGTTATCGGTTGGAACCCAGTCAACTGCACCCGACATCAGTGATAGAGGAGGCCTGACGAAGTGGAGATCCGAGGGTCACCTGGAAGTAGGATAGAAAAATAACATCAGAGAAAAGGAAATGAGTTGTTTGAAGAAAGAGATCCTAGATCACCTCAGCTCCCCGTGCAGCCAGGTCATTGTTTCTTTTCCCCTGTAGCACAATGCTAGAGGTTCCTTATCTAGCGGAAATAAGCATGCTCTCTACCAGGGAATACCAAGTGCAGTCGGGAGAATAAAAATCATACAGCAAATAGGAAGATCAAGTGTGCATATTGAAGATAGAAAATTAGAAGTCAGCACCATCAAGTGGATGGCACTCACAGCGACCCTTCGGACCGGGTCAAACGGCCCTGTGAGTTTCTGAGGAGGCTATACCTCTTCACAGGAGCAGAAAGCTCCGTCTTTTCTCCTGAGCTTTTGAAATATTAGGCCTACATCCTTGCTTCAGCTGGGATCTCCAGAAGAGCAAAACCAAAAAGCCTCTATATAAGTATATAGACAGAGCACAGGGAACTGGCTCATGCACTTGAAGGCGCTGACAAGTCCCAAGTTCACGGGTCAAACAGCAGTATGGGTGCTTCTTCTGACTCGTGTGATAGCAGGCGCTTACAACCCCCAAACCTTCAGGTCACTCATTCAGGTTCTGCCCTGTGCCCCAAGAATCAGGTCAGCAGATGATGAGTTGGATGCAGGATTGAGAAAGAAAGAGCTTTGCCCGAACATCCAGCATATTGAATGCACATTCCACCCCACCCCACCCCAGGGACATTTCTCTTTCCACTGATCGATTGCATCCAACCACTGAGAATCATGGCCGAGCCACGTGGATATAACCTTACTCATCACACAAGCCTTCTAAGAGTGTCTTTTTGGGGGTAACCTAGCACCGAAAAAGAGACCTCAATATATTGATAATGAGTCTTCCAACAAAATTGTCCAGCCAGACCCTAATTACTCACCAGTGAAACTATGATTAACACCCCACCACCACCCAGGTACAGTGCTTTCAAACATTAGTGTCGCACTCTTAATAGAAGACAGTTAAAGATCACTAAACATTTGTATAAAGCCTCCGATACAAAAGGCAAACCTTAAAAAAGAAAACCAATGAGAAGGAAATGGACTTGCAGAGAAAACACATCAAGGTTACAGTTGGCATCAAAGCCTTCATAGCTGCCACCACAGCATGTCAGTGGAGGGTGCTGGTAAAATACTCAAGAATTAAAAAGGAGCCTATGTGAGTGGAAATGACAAGACTTCCAAGTTGAACTTTTGGAGAAAGAATAGGATAACAATGGAACATGAGAGGGGAAAATTAAGAAAATTAAGAGCATCAGCACAAGAAATCCAACATCTAAACATTAGGATATTTGACAAAGCAGAAATAAGAGCTGTGGAAGCAAAGAAATAATTTCCAAAGAATTCCTAGAACCAAAGGGCCTAGGTTGCCTGTTTGGAGAAGTTTATGCATACTGGTTAGCATGGCGGATGAAGATGGAGCTACATGACAACTACGTGAAGTATTAGGGTGAAAGAAAATCCCACTGAGGAAGGATAAGGAAGTTTAAAAATTTTCCAAGTATCAACTCCACACGATTCTGAAACCCGGCCACAGTGTAACATTGCCTTCAAAATTCTGAAGGAGGACGTGCACACCCAGACTGCTAAATACAAGGGCAGATGTGATTCACACTTGTATAATTCACACTTGTATAATGTCATTCGTACACGGAAGAGCTCCAAAGTGTATTTCCCAGAGGACCTTTTTGGGAAGCGCTGCTGGAGCATCACCTACACAAGGGACTGAAGAGGAGATGGGACCTCTCAGAAGAGCAGGGGTCTCCACAATGATGTGGAGATAATGAACCAGAAGCTCTACAGCAGTGTGGGAATAGAGGGTCGGCAGAACGGCAGTAAGAGGGGCCAGTAGTTACACGTGGGTATTTAAATTAGTGAAGCAATACTGAAAACCGCAGTAGGCACGTTGCAAAAGCCAATGTGCAGACTCAACTCCGTCAGAAAGTAAATTTCTACTCGCATGTCCGTAAAGGGCACTGGGTTTCTGAAACAGTCACTCTGTGGACGCAGAAAGCCTTCTTGTCCTCCACAAAGTGGCTCGTGGTTTCAGACAGAGACTGGTGTATTGCACAGTGCCGCAGTAGCATTTTCCCACTGTTTTTGTACAAAGTTCTGCTGGGCACCCCTAGTCAGAAGAGATCTTTTTCAAGATGGAACTGGAAGAGTTCACTGTTTGACAGGAAACTTCCTGGGAGAGTGAAGGTACATCAGTGATAAATAATAAGTACACAGTGGCCACCTCAGATCCCTGTGCCTGACATTGTATTATTTTGGTCATTGAAGCTTCATCCTCGTGTCGTGATAAGAGCAGAGGTATCGGAAGGTTGTTTGTCGATAATGTTTTTGCCCCTGCCTTTTCTACAAGTGTGAATCACATTTTTTCCCACCACTGGTTGAGAAAGGTCTTGTGATTCCGTGATAGGACTATGCTCCCATTTGATGGTTCTATCAGTTGATAATTGCATTGGTAACAGCACCATAGCTGTGATATGGTATGTCATGAATCAAAATGCCTCAGCTCTCCTAACTAGAGTTAAAGGCCTAAAAATAGCTGCCAGACACATTTTCTGACTTCTAACCAGCAACAAAGATGATGTTCGGAATAAGATGGAAATACAGGATAAAATGGGGCAATAAAGAAGAGCACACACAGAAAGCTTTCAGCGAGCATTAGTGGGACTTTTGTGGTAAGCCTGTTACCTACCTACAAAGTAGGCAAAGTCAAATAACAAAGAGAAAAGGTATGTATTTAAGAAAAACACCATGCTGAAAGAAAAGCAGCCATAGTCGGTTACATGACTGAATCCCTGAAAAACATTTGTAAATTCCGAGAACTCAACTGTTATATTGAGAAGGATACACGTGTTGGAAGGGTACCTAGAGTGAAAGTGAAACCAAAGTCCTATTTTCCATAACGGGACGTCAGTTAATGATAAGGCTGGGGGAAAAAATCAAGACGTTGTAATGAAGGCATGGGATTTTGATTCCCTGGGTGCTATAAATGCTTGACATGCTCCACTGCTAACTGAAAGATTGGGGGTTCACATCTGCCCAGAGGCACCCAGGAAGAAAGGTCTGGTGATCTTCCAGAAACCCAGCCAGTGAAACACCTGACCCACTGGTTGCCGTGAGTCAGAGTCGCCGTGAAAGCAGCTGTTTCAAATCCCGGAGGAATCCGCTCAGAGAGGCCAGGTGGTCCTCCCTGGGACTTGGCAAGTGGGGAAAACCCGTCGTGACGTGGTCTAGTGCTTGCATGTCGGGTTGCTAACCACAGGGTTGCCAGTTTGAAACCACCGGTGCTCCAAGGGAGAAAGAGGAGGCTTTTCTACTCCCCTAAAGGGTTACCGTCTCGGAAACCCACACGGGCAGTTCGCTAAGGTCGGAATTGACTTGGTGGCCGTGAGTGTGGGGTTTTGTTGAGCCCTGGTGACTCGGTAGGTTAAGCACCGGGCGGTTAACACCAAGGTCAGTGGTTTAAACTCACCAGCTGCTCTGCAGGAGAAAACTACAGTTCTCTGCTCCAGTAACACAGAGTCTAGAAACACAGAGCATGCATGATCTGACATGGCTCCGTGGCAGCCGATGTCGGAGTTACCGTTACTTTAAACTGTGTGCACCGGGACAGCGTACCCAAAGAGCTGTTTCTTCTAAAGAAGGAAGAGCTGCCTTCCGTCTATACCCAGTTCTTTACAGTAAGAGGTCCAGGCAAGGTAATCACTGTAGTACTATTTGCATGGGGAAATACTGTTTGGTTTTAATCAAAATTGTCTTACCCGATTTGGGGTATCTGTGATTGTGATAAAATTCCACTGACACAGACCAAAGTAAAGATGTTCATGTCAGTGCTCATCAGCATGCGTGTAATTTAAGATCATTAAATTTGTTAGTTCATAGCTCTTTGGAAACAAATTATTTTTACTTTCAATGTTAGTGGTACATTAAGAGTATGCATAAACTTCAGAAAGTTTATGAAAAAAAGCCCATTATCTTTTCATTCTATTCTCCATGAATTTTTGGAGCTCGTGTGTGTGTATGTGTGTGTGTATTTTTATTCTGTCCAAAGTTACATAGATGTTTCATGCACGGCACAAGCTTGGGTTGATCGATAGGTCAGTATGCTTTAAACTGGCCCTATTATTACTTGAAGCATCTATGTGTATTCCTTAAATGTTGCCGAAAATCACTTTTTTGGAACATGAAAGCACTGTAGCTTACCCTTTACTTAATTAGTTTATGTCTGCATCTTAACTCCAGAGGTGTATTGATTTTTATTGTTGTTAAAATCGCAGTGTTGAACTGAGCTGCAAAATGAGGTTTGGGATCTATTTACCTCCGAAAGCTGAGACTGCAAAGTGCCCCGCACTGTACTGGCTGTCTGGTGAGTGCTCTGTGCTTGAGTTTTAGGAGGGAGTCTCCTTTGTCATCTTGCCTGGATAAAAGTACCCCTTTATCTTGGCATTCCGGTATCCTTCCTAAACCATTTATCTTGCTCCTATTTCAGTTGGACCATGTAATTTAGCAAATGTAACATCTAGACTCCTTGGCATGAGCCTCAAAAGGGTTACTTAATCTGTACCGATCCTGGCATTTCCGGAGTTTGGAGAGACCTGCCAAGGAGAATAATATTAGGGGAAACCAGAACACCATAAAACCCTAATTAAAAACCACTGACAAGCAACTTCTTACCGTGTGCTCCAGAACATTCCAATTGAACTTCACAGAACTTCTCTGGAAACAATCCAGAAAGTCACGAAAGCACTATTAATAAAGCTTGTATTGGGTCAATAGGACGCAGAATTAACTCAATGGCATTTGTTCATTTTGTTCTGGAGAATGAATCATGAGAGTATGGCATTTTGCCACTGGTAATTTTAAACCTGCGCTAACATTTCTTTCGCAAGATGGAGTACTTCATCTTTAGAAGAAGACTAAGCCATGGGAAACTATGCCATAGTGTGAGCTGTTTTAATTTTTGTTTCCTTAAATGCATACTTGTGGCTTTTAATAAATGCACCATTACATGCGTTTCATCAGGGATGTGCCCTGAATATCAGCCTTTTAAAACAACAGTGGGTATTTCCTGTTGAAAGGTAACCCTGAAGTGCACATCTGGTTTTCACTCAACAAAACATTTCTGTGGTCAAATGAAGAGCACCGGGTATTGACAGAAGCAACAGTGACACCACGAAATGAATCATTTTAGAAAACAGCCTTGTGTCGCTAAAGATCTTAAAAAGCACGTCATCCACAGACTAGAAAACTGAGGTCTCGGAGAGGTTAAATATTCCCAGAGGTTGAATAGCATCAAGACGGAGCAAGTTTTCTGGCTCGTGGAGCAGAACTGAGGAGGTCGGCTAAAGGTCCCGTTTCTCGGTTATAAGAGTAGCTCAGACCAGCAGGACAAGCAGATTGTGTAAGAATTAGAGATGATGATAGTTGGACCCTAAGTTCTTAACCCAAATTGGAATCTACCGAAAGACACCATCTGAGCTGCACGAGCATAAAACGGAATCTGCTTGTTTGTATCCAGCAAAAGGACAGTGTGTGTATCTGTAGCGAGATAGTGCTGAACAAGTAGACTTTGGGAGGTGGGCTTGATTTCCTTGAGGGGTGGGGAAAGAAGGAGGTAACACTGCCGGGCCATCAGTGCCCTTCAAACAAGTAGGTCGTCAGAAGTGTCGGGGTGAGTTTCCAATGGGCCAAAGGAAAGCCGTGACAGAAAAATTCAGGTTTTTATGTCACTGAAGTGAATGAGTGGGCTGGAATTCGAATACAGTGAACCCTCGTTGATCGCGGTTCATCGGTTCTAGACCCTACCGTGATAAATGAAATTCCACGAAGTAGGATTCCTTATTTGTAAATCAAATATTTTCGTAGTTAGAGCATAGAGGACATGAAAAAACACCCCTTAGTCACCATTACACTCGTATTACCCAATTTATTAAACGAAAAAGGGAAAATACAGTAAAACATTTTGGACGTTACAATGATCATTTATTATTTATGATATTATTTATGGCATCTAGTTTACAGCATTACATATTTCACATACAGTATTATTATACATAGTTCTTACAAATACTGTAATCAATAGCCTATGAAATGACTTAAGGGATGTACTCTACAGGTGGGTCGCCGTCTTTTTCCTCTGAAGGAGCGGGTGTAGGCAGTGGGTGCTGTTACGCAAAAACCGCGATAGAGTGAAGCCGCGGAAGTCGAAGCGCGAAGTGGCGAGGGTTCACTGTACCATTCAAACCGAAATGCTAACACAGAACGAACTGTGGTGATTTGCATCTGTTCCGAGTTGAGTTGACCATGGGGACCACCCTGCATATTACTTATATGTGTCCCTGATAAAGGACGCACGAGAGTAAGAACAAGCTACATGGCTGTGAACTGATGGAATTAGTAAAACGAATGACATTTACCCCAAGATGACTCCATAGCAGCAAAGGAGTGAGGCGCTCACCCATCCTACACCACGGATGGCTTTTGAGAACATCGTGCTGAATGAGAGAAGGCCACATAGCTATTGTGTTTGTGTGAGACAGAGTCTAGAGATTGCATAGCTCTGGGGGGAGAGGGTCGGGAGAAAATGGGGCCTGACTGCCAGCAGGTACTGGTTATTTTGGGGTGACGAGAGTGTTCTCTAATTAGAAAATGGTGATGGATGCGTAGCTGTGGGCTATTGGAAAACATTGAGTTGTGTATTTAAATAGATGAATCATAGGCCACATGAATTATATCTCAATAAAACTGTTGCCCAAAAGTCCTAAGGCAAACTTAGGCAAATACTGTCACAACATCTACATGACAGAAAGCTTCCGAATTTTGAGGGGAAAACAATTGCAAGTGAGTTTGTTTTCCTATATTACGAAATAATTTTAAAACTATCTTCAGTATGGCATGAGCTAACCGTGGCTTTGCTTTTCAGGCTTATCTTGTACGGAGCAAAATTTCATATCCAAAGCCGGGTATCATGCAGCAGCCTCAGAACACGGCCTTGTCGTCGTAGCTCCAGATACCAGCCCCCGTAAGTGCTCGGGTACCAGAATCTCGACGACTGAGCTTTAAGAAGTGTGCTACGTACATTATGCCGTCTGCATGTGTGCTGTTACTTCCATTAATCTCTTCAGTCACAACATGACTGAAAGAGCATCCTACACATTTTCCTCACTCTAGAGTTCACTTAAGACTTTCACACAGTGAGTGGGGATAGTTTTTGCGAGTCCCATTTTACAGCTGAAGATACTGAAATATGGAGAGATTGAGCAATTCCACCAGTATACTGGCAGTGCTTTCAAAATGGCAAGGGACGAGGGTAACTTATAAACAAGGTATTGCTATAAATTAGAGAAAACATTTATAATTGAAAATGTGAAGCTATTGTTTCTCGACCTAGATTCTTCCATCTAGGTTTGTGCACGTCTGAAGGTGGAGTTCCGCTCTCTCTAACCCTTCCCTGAAGGAGCCCGTGTGGCATAGTGATTAAGCACAAGGCCAGCAGTTTGAAACCACCAGCTGCTTGCTCCATGGGAGACCGATGAGGCTTTCTACTCCTCCACACAGTTCGAGTCCTTGGGATCCACAGAGGCAGGTCTACCCTGTCGGGGGGTTGCCACGAGTTGGAATCAACTCGGTGGCAGGGAATAAAGGATTCAATTCAAAATAGGATCCAAAATGCCAAAACTCTAGGAATAAACTCTAAGAATATGAATCCTACAGTAAGAAAACTGTAAACTATTGCGAACGATCATAAATAAAGACAACATGGTGAAGAAAGCTGATAGTGCCCGGCTATCAAAAAGTATAGCGTCTG